GAAAGAGTAAAGCAATGGGTGAAAATATAAAATAAGTTGTATGACTCAGACACAGGAATATTAAGAAACCAGCAGAATAAGTCAGATGTTGCAACAGAAAATACATTGAGTTAAGGCATACTCAAGGTAGAACATTCTAATTTGGGTAACATGCAGGTTGTGATATGGTCAAAAGTTTTATCAACATGAAATCAGAGTTTCAAAATAACTTAGCAGCCAGAGAGATGAATTACTTCATATTGTATATACACATAACTATGGAGATATATATATACATACACATTCATACATAATTACAGTTGAGAACAGAATCTGGTTTTACACATTTAACAGGTAAAACATCTGAAAAAGATGGTGTGTTAGGTCTACTTGTAAATCTGCATTTCTGTTTGTAGATAGACACATTGTGGACACACTTAGAAATACCTTGTTATCTGTTTATAAAGACTTCTCTGTTCACCACAATAAACAACACTGTACCTGTATGGCTTCGAATATGAACTCTCAGTGTTCCATTGCTTGCAAACTTCTGTCCACAATACGGGCAAATCTTCTCTTTTTCTCCTGTGTGAGTCTACACGGAGTGCAGAAAGACAAGAATGAAAGCTTCAATGTATTGACATTGACAACTACTGTGTCCATTATATATTTTATACCATCACATCAGGTAGACAATCTAAGGAAACAGCTATTGGTGCTCTTTGTTTTTTTCTAAAATTTTCAAACAAATCCCATTATTAATGGGAAAACAAACTGGCTTTTTAGTTCTTATGTTTAAGAATTCCTTAATAGTTACTATTAAAAACACCCAATTCACTTTGTGTATTTGCAGGATTGCAAGACTAAGGTATCTATTTTCAGTATGATATCTGTGATAGTGGTTTCTAAACCAATAAACAATATTTGGTTTGCTAACAAAATTAATCTTCATAAATAGGTCTATTTTTAAAATCTTACAATTCACAGAATTGATGCACCATCACAGCTTTCTACTGAAAAGCCAGAAGCATCCAAGGATTTCACATTTAGCCACAACCTTAAGGACACAGAAGGAATGATTATGATAGAACCGATTCTACTCACTTTTTTATGACTCTTCAGGACTGAAGGTGTCACAAAAGCTTTGTCACAGAGATCACACTTGTATTTCTTATGCCCATCATGTACAACTTGAATATGAACATTCAATGTGTCCTTTCTTTTGAAAGTAGCATCACAGTGATCGCACTTGAAGGTCCTCTCACCTTATAAAGAGAAAAAACAAAGTTTAAAGATAGCAGATTTTGATGCAAAAACACTAAGGTTTATTGTTTCAGAAAAATCACAGAATCATAGGGGTTGGAAGGGACCTCTGGAGATGATCAAGTCCAACACCCCTGATGCAGCAGGTTGAATAAAAACAACAAAGACAAATGAAAAGCTGTGTTCTGAGAACAGAAATAAGATAAATTTTACATCAGGTAAAAATGGAAAATGGAAATTAGTAAGGCAGAAAATAGTCATCACAACAACAGTGAGAAACACAAGATTAAACTCTAGCCAAAGGTGAAATGACAACCAGTGGAAATGGATTCCAGTGAAAGAGAGCACAAGTTTTACCAGCACCTCCAGTAACAGACACTCTATGGAAACAAGCTAGAAGATTAAACAGGCTTAATCTTTTGAAACTTCAGGGGTAAGAGACATCTTCCTGAATTTAAAAGAATTCTCAAAAATATAAATACTTGCTTTGAGTAACCTCTCTCATTCACACCAAAAGCAGCAAAATCACATGACAAAGATGAAGTAACTTTTAAGTGTTGTAACAGTGTTACTATTCAAGCTGTGGTGATGTGGTTGAAGGTTATGGTAAAGGCTAAGTCAATATTGCTAATAGTTTTAAAATTCAATTAATCACCTAAGAGAAGGGAAGAGACATCGTATTCTAAAAGTCTCTGTATATCTTTTGGAAAAAAAAAGACACACAATTCTTCAGATAAATAATTAAATTAACCTTCTGTTTATCTCCACTGTCAATGCAGAAGAGAATATTACCTTCTATTTGTTAACTTCTTAATTAAAATTACAAGCAAAATCTCTGCATCATGGCATTCATTCAGGAATCCACAGTCCAAACTGCAAATCATGTGCCATATCCCAAAAAACCTCCCAAACTGTTACATCACAAAGAAAGATCACCATAATCTAAGGCACATCCTCCACTTGTTTTTCAGGACAGAGGTCTGATCTTCAGCCTCCTGATCCATGTGAAAAAGGACACAAAAGCACAAGCTACTTTTTCCATTAGCTATGATGCACAGGTAGAGGTACACTTATTTCTTTGCTATAGCTCATCAGAGGATGAAATAATCCCAGCCTTTAATATGCTGTTATGTGGAGGTTTAACATTGATACTGCTTCTAACTGCTCAGTGAATCACTTCAGTTCTGATACTGGGAATGTGAAACTACACTACTAACAAAGTGAAGTCATCGCTATTTTTACTAAAGTAACATGCAATTTTCTGCTGCTTCAACAAAGGAAAAATATTCAAGTAATATATTTTTTTCAAACTTTTCTTCGTATAAGAACTTCTAGGCCTCATGGGTTTATTTTTAGGGAGTAATTTGGTTTTTTCTGCCTCTTCTACTAAGTTAGCTCCAAGTCTGAAAATAAATTGCGGAAAAAATGAAGCAAGACCAGAGATAATTTGAACAAATTGCTGTGTCTTCTGAAGAAATATTTATATCATTCCCATAATTTTACATAATCTCATAATGGTTTAAGACAAGATTTGACATTTGTTGAGTTTCGGGATGATTTATCCTTTTTATCCTTAAGTTTTGCTTGCAATCACTCCTATCCTTTTCAGTATTCCACTTCTATTACAATTCAAGGAAATTACTTTCAAACAACAATAAAAAATAAAGTAATAAAAGATCAACCAGTTTTTAAACAAAAAACCTCCAGTGTCAGGGAGCTTCAGAACTAACACAGCTCAACCATATCTCCTCAGTGCATACACATTATAATCATCTTCGACTATGTATAGTTCCAATGCCAAATATGTATTCAGCCAAGTCCTGGCTTCAGTTTAGAGTTTTTTTTCAACATGCAAATAAGTGGGAATACTAGAATTGGGTTTTTTTTTTCACATACTATCCTGAATGACATGCCAACTTATGCCAACCTCTGTAGAAGAAGCTAATGATTAGTATTTCTCTTACTAACAAACATTCTGCATGGAAAGTAAATACATAAAAAGGATTATGTTCTCAAAAAATGCAGTCCTGCTCAGTGCATGGCTCCACAGTCCCAGTCAACTGTCCAAGCAAAAGAACTTAGGGTTACTCATTCTTGTTAGTCAGCATGAGTCACGTAGGAGCTACCATACACTTAACCAGGTATAACAGATCCTTCCTAACACTACAGCTGAGAATAAAGGGTTAGTTCCAGCTTTGCCAATGACATAATGAGAATACAGATACTAGCAGCATAATCAGCAGCATGCCTAAGAGAGAAAAACTTGTCTTGACTCCCAGAAGGCATGTTTTACTCAGCTACAACGTGGGAGAAAAAAGAAGTTTGGCTTTTTTTTTCTCATCATTTGTCAGTTAGACATATTTAACACTGAATTTTGAAAGTTATACCCATGGTAGCTTTTCCAATTTCATGACAGAAACACCCAAGAAGTAAGTTTAGGAAATACAACCTTTTCCAGTAAATTACTTTTGTAAAATAAAAGTCATTACACATCATTCTGCAGAGTGCCTTCTTCTAAACAAGGGAGTACTGAATTCAAAAGAATGTATGATGTAGGCTGAACTTCAATTTTCCCTAGAAGTTTCAAGCTTCACAGTTTTTTTCCTTTCCTACAGCACAAAACAGTAAACTCAGCTAAATACATCTAGAGATTCTGTTTTGTATCTCTCCTTCCTTTACAGCAACAGATATACTTCAGTGCTATGAAAGGGACTATCATCCAGCTGTAGCAGGACAATGCCTGTAATTCTGAGTTATTTCAAATATGAGAAACTCATTATTATGGCAGCACAACTTGTCAGTCTCAGAGATAGGTCAGGAGGGGAAGAGTCCTACATTTTTTCACTAGGAACACAAGGTCTTCTCAGACAACAGCAGAGACTCGTTTTAATCATAGCCTTGAACTGAAAATTGTTTATTCTTCAGTTCATCCTAGTAATAACTTTCACTTTTCACTTTGCTATTGGTCTGTCAACACTTCTTTTATGGGACTACAGACAAGAGAGACAGAGTACAACTATATGAGATTTGCTTATATTCTGCTGTATTAAGGCCTCCTTGTTAAGTTGGTCAGTTGGGGTTTTTTCCTCCTAAGAAAAAAGTTTAAAAATATTCCCTGTGATCAATAAAAATACCAAATATTATTTAAGCCTTTGAGTCATTTTGGAGACTGTTTTAGCTGAGATAGCAGAAGTTACTATCTTTTAACACCTAATGTATCCCTCAGCAAGACATGTCTCCTTTGGCACCAAGGAAGACTGAACAGATGATATCTGTGCCACAGCAGTTCTCAGTCTGATATATTAAATATTTGCCTAAATAGTGGTGGTTCAGGAACATCTGAATTTTCTGCAAATCCCAACCCAAGCTCATAGATCTCAAATTTCCTGAGTTCCCATTCTCTTAAAAAAGAAGTCAAAGTATATACTTTTAGACATCTTTACCAAGGCCTAGAATTCTGCACACCATGAATTACTTTTTTTTTTTAATATAAATTCTGCAAATGCTTGGCTCATTAGAATACACATTACTGAAGAGGTTTTTCATTTTTACCCCTCCATTATTTTTAACATTGGAAAAAGATTTTTAAAAATTCAATGCTTTATGAAATTGCAGAAGCTTTGACAGATAATTGTAGAAGAACAAATTAAACACACCAGTGTAATAATTTATGCAACAGAAACACTGTTTTATATCAATGTAAATATTCCCCAAAACAATGTACCATTTTCTAAGCTACAAGGATTTGAGATCAGGAATATCTTCTAAAACCTAACATGCTGACATTCACAGGGTTGAACTGTAGTCTAGGGCTCTGTAAATACTGAAGATGGAGACAATTCCATCAAAAATAAGTCTTCACACAGCCAGCTAAAAAACGCTACAGGATACCAAGAGCAATTTACTCATGAGGACAAATGACCACAGCATTTCTCTGGGCTGCTAGCTCTATGCCAGAGACAGGAAACATTAGCCTGTGCTGGCACAGATGAGAGAATCTCAGTTGCAAACTCTAAACCTGAATGCCTACAAAAGCTGAGTAAGCCACCAGAAGTTATCTCCACTTCCATTTCTCCCTTATTAAAACGGAGGCAACACTATCACATTTAATGCAGAAATAAATCTCTTGTCCTCAGCCCTCAAATAACTGCTAGATTTTCTACAGAATATTTGGATTTGCATTTAAGTGCATCTAAAGACAAGGCTGCAATTTGGCTTGCAGTTTTCTAACTCCCTCGGCTTAGAGATGAATCTTAATATTTAATACAGCAACTTACATATTGGAGCAAGGTGCCATATGTCTGTTTTTCTCAGTCAATTCTAAAAACTGAGGAAGTTCTTTTTCCTCTCTGACTTAGCACTTACTGTTATGGATTAACAGATGTCTTTGTAGAGAGAATGGGGTTCGGAACAAAGCTTTGCATTCCTCACACTGGAATGGTCTCTCTTCAGAATGGGTCTGCAGATGAAAGACAACATGTTAGAGGAAAGGTTTGGGAAAATCAATTAGTTCATTAGTCATTACAGTAATTATAGCTAATTTTCTAGACTGGATTCAGCAGAGGACATGACAGCAATCTGAAACACCAGGGGATGAAGAAATAAAACGATAACTCTTGTCATTATCCACAATCCTGAAAGTCAGCACAGCAGCTACTGAAAAATTTACCTTCCCAGTCCTCAGAAGTGTTACATGAGGTGTAAATAGAAACAAAAGTATAGAATCACCAAGAAAGCAAGCTCATTTGAATTGCTTCATCAGTACTAACACTGGCCTCAGATACCTACTAATATGAGTAAATGCTTTAAAATTAAACACATGTACACAAACCCCTTTCAGTTAAGTTTGAAAGTAAAACTGCTCTGATTATCTCAAGACTGTACCTAAAATTTGGCAAAAAAAATTTCTCAAATCATAATACTAGTCTTACATATCCTTGTTTCAGCTCCTTGTATAAAAAAGCAAAAATAAATTAAAAAGACATAAAAGCATTGATACTGAGATTTTTGTTTGCTGTAGAAAAAATTGTCATAGCTGAGCAACAGCCTTAAAGCCATAAATAAAACAAAAGACTAAGCATCTCTCAAACTACAGAGTTGCTGAAGCAGATTTTCTTTCTGGAACTTGGGAAACATCCAACTTCATTCTTTTTTCAATTTCAAAGCACTTTCCCCATTTCCTAGTGTTATTAAATGCTGTCCCACTGCAGACTGTAAGTTAGTAAGTACAATTTATTATCACCCCAATTTCCTACTATTTTTGCAAAAGAAAGTAAGTTTTTTAAGTACCAGCATCTAAACATTGTATTAGCTCACAAGGACCTTAAGTAGAAGCTGCAGTGTCAAGAGGAAAAGGGGATGGGACAGTGAGTGTTCCATAATAGCAACAAAATTAGGTATATGAGCTAATTTTGTAGACCAAGGGTAAATATTAGCATGGTACACATTTATATAATCTATTGCTGATATTTCTAATACCATACAGTATTTATAGCTATTCCTTAAACTATGGAGAAAAAAACAGGGGACTGTGGGGAGTCAGCATAATAATTTAGACTGAGGGCCTTGAACCCAGGTTAATTTTAAGAAATGCCTCTTATGTACGCAACAGCACCAAAACATTAGATTACTTGCCATGGTATACAGATGCTTTGGATTCTAAGTCAATTCCTCAGTCTATGTCAATTAAAGCAAAAAGGCAATTGGAGCACCATCAATGTGTGGGATGTAACACGTTACATAAAACCTGCTAAATGTTTCAGTCCAGGTTCTACAAGTTTACATCACAATTTGCATTAGTTGACACCCTGCTTGGCAGTCTTAGCAGCCAGGCCAAGGATTGACAGGACATGAAGAGACTGAACTACCTTCTCACCTCAACAGGTGGCTCCTCCAGAACAGGGTTGAGACATATTGATGAGACACTGTGGGGAAGCTCGCAGTGCTGCTGTCTGTGCTGTACCTGTTCTGTGGATAAATAGAAGGGTTCAGTCTCTAGGGCTGTCAATCTGGCACCTTTCACGAGCGCAAAATCCATGTTGATTAGTAAAAAAAAAAAAAAAAAGCCCTGTTTTAGAACACTCATGACTTGAGTGATACTTCTGAGGAGCACAATGATTTGTACAGAACTCCTTAGCATCTCCTAGCCTTTTAGTCATCACACAAGATTCATCTACAGAAGTTCACTACCAAGAAAAACGCCAAACTAGGCATACCCACATGCAAGGGCACACAGATCATCTGCTCTTTCATGAATGGTCCAGAAACAAGCCAGGTCTAAAAAAAAAAAAAAAAAAAAACATGTTGGTTAAGAAAAAAAAAAAAAAAAAGCCCTGTTTTAGAACACTCATGACTTGAGTGATACTTCTGAGGAGCACAATGATTTGTACAGAACTCCTTAGCATCTCCTAGCCTTTTAGTCATCACACAAGATTCATCTACAGAAGTTCACTACCAAGAAAAACGCCAAACTAGGCATACCCACATGCAAGGGCACACAGATCATCTGCTCTTTCATGAATGGTCCAGAAACAAGCCAGGTCTAAAAAAAAAAAAAAAAAAAAAAAAAGCCATGCAAACCTTAAGAGAGATAAACCCCCAAACACATGGATTAGTTCTAAGCCTGTATTTTTTCCTCTGAGGGTCCAGATCAGAGATGGATTCCATTCAGTCAGAGCTTGGAACAGCCATACAAACAAACCGACTGAGGATGGACTTTTATGGAATATTTCATGGTATCCTTTCCTACAACAGCATTTGTGGAGGCTTAAACCCAGCCCAAGGCTACTTATTCCCAACAGAGAAACTGAGGGAATATAGTTGTTTCAATTCATTACGATCCCCAGGACCAAATAACCCCGGATTAACCATAAACCCTTTAAAATCCTGTGTCTGCTGACCTACTTCTGCTCACTGAATATCCTCCTGTTTTATTCTCTGAACTCATTCTTTGAAGATAGCAACAAAGGAGAAGATGAACAAAACCTTCACTTTCTCCTGTATGGAAATAACCTGCATTATATGACACAGATCATGCACCTTCATCCAATCTAACTTGGATTAAGGGTCACTATATTTATCTATAGCACAATCCAATGCTACATTTGCCTCTTAATTTGAGGTACTATTCCCTTCCTTCCCTTACCCACGAAAATGGAACAATACTCTTCATATGATCTCTTAGTCATATAGTTCATAAGCTTTTGAAAAAGACGTGAGCTAGCTGCATATGGCATAATACTTCCCAGCGCTGACATCTCCAACCAAGTGACAAAGCAAGCTTTCACATGCACCTACAGAGAGCATTCCAGTACTTGCATGCAGAAGCAGCAGATCAGAGAGATACCAGAGGAAGACTAATATTTCTGCTTCTCAGATCCATAGCTGTAAGGGTGGTGTAATGAGTGCTAAGTTAGACTTCACTCCACAGTGCACCACTGAACAAAGCAGATACACTCTAAGCAGCTCCACTTTCTATTTCCAGTGGAATCCTGTGAAATGTGAGGAACTCATCTCCTTCTGCACCTTTGAAATGACCCAATATTCACCCACATTTGAAAGATGTTTAAAAGCTCATGTTGTAGGAGCCATTTTTCTGCTACTTCTAACAAAATCAGATTAAATAACCCCCATAAAGGAATCACAGAAATAGCAGCTATAACAAGTTTCCATCTGAAACACAAAACCAGAATTCAAAGGCAGAAAATATGTATGTATTATAAATAATAAGTATTTAGCTCTGCTGTAAAACCCAGAGAGTTCTTTTCAGGCGTGTTGCTATCAAACAGAAAAGTTCATTTAAATGCTGTTAAGTATGTTTAATGATTGTGTCCATCACCCCTACTGCAGGTGTCCAAGGTCCCCGCTACTAGCACAGTAACTGCATCCTGGAACTCAAAAAAGCACTGTGAAATTATTCAGAGTCCAACTTTTCTTCCTCCAAAGGAAACTGAAACCTAGGAGGATATCTTAATTGAATACACATCTAAACAAATCATTAAAAACCTGAACTCAAGAAACACATAGAAGCAGTGAATATTCACAATGAAGGTTTTAATTTCCACTGTTACTGGATCGACATTCCTGTGAACAATCAAAAGAATTATCATCCTCTTCCCCTAGTAGTAGTTCAGCCCTCCCAAAGTTATGGCACTTGACTATTTCAGCATCCCAAACGACTGCATCCCTTGACTAATACCTTACAATTGGTTTTGCATATACATATCCATAACTCCCCTCTGTTACCTACTACCTCTCCTTCTTTACACTGGTAATTCAGTGGAGAGAGGCCTATCTAAAAAAGCAATTCAAGGTATCTGTATCAGTCTCCTGTTAGCCATGCTCATCTCTTCAGTTAACAAGTGAAATCGGAGCCCTAAATGTAGGCAGGTATGTTCAGAATATTGAGAGTGGTTTGGGTAAACTTAATGTAAACACAGGAATACGGGTCTTGCATTACAGAGGAGATGGTTGATTTACAGCCAGTACTATGTGCAGTAAGGATCAGGAAATAAGTATTTTAACATTTGTTAATTCGGTGAAAATTAGGTACTCACTAAATCTGTCTAAGTTTTAGTTTTTTTTCCTGTTAACTAGAGCCACTGATCCTTGCTTACGCTAGTGGTGCTGCTGCTTTAAACACAGAATTGGGTTAAAGTGTTTGCTCGTTCATACTTCATCCTGAAGTCCATTTTCAGCCTCAACTCCCTACCAGTCATCAAGTGCAAATTAACAAGAGGAAACACATAAAAAGCATTCATTTAAGATATAGAAGTGTCTTTCCAGGTAATATTTTATACATTTTCCTTAGAATAAATCCAACTTGTGAGATTCTGCCTCATTTTTTTAAGAGTCTGAAACATAAGATAAAATGGCAGTACATATGGGAGCTCATCTTGTCCTTCAGCAGGCTCTGTATGCTTTCTGTTTTAGACAGTCATCACTGCTTCATCCAGCAAGAGGCATTATTATTCTCTAATGTGATTTATGGCTCAAAGAGCAAGAGACAGTGCAAAGATCCTGTGCCAAATTCCCAGATGGCATACTACATGAGGCAAACTGCAAAAGACTTAAGTATGGGTATACCAGTTTCATCAAAAGAGAGAAATAAAGGGGTACTATTTTAAAAAGTGAAAAAAATAAAAAGAAAAAAAGAGCAAAACATTCCAAATACTGGGCATGAAACCAGACAGGGGGTTTTTTTTCCCCCTTTCTGTCTTTTATACAGTCTTGTAATTTTGAAACAGCAGTCATGGATATAGCCTTCCCATTAAAAATGTAAACCCAGGTTAAAAATAATAGCAGGTGTGACAGAATTTAGGCAAACAGATCTACGCTTAAAATGAACAGAAGCAGAGCATCCCTTCATGAGCCTACTTTTCAGGTAGTTTCTTCTGATGTTGTTTTAATATGTGAACACTACTCAAAGCCAGTATAGTTTGAAAGCATCTGCTGTTAAGACTAACAATGACTGCAACAGGACTACACTTACTTTTATTCAAATATGGTATTTTAAAGAAAAGACATTTTGGATCAGTTACATTTTTAACTTGATAAACTAATAATAAAAAACACACCAACAAAACCCCAGAAAAATCAAGTGGGGCTTCATTGTATTTATTTAACCAAGCAACTATGAGTTCCTTCTGCTTACTTAACTTTTTTTTTTTACTAGAATTCATTTCGTATTTTGTAATTTTTTGATATAACAAAGAACACTAAAAAAAAAAAAATACATTCTCCAATACTTTAATCTCATGTTTATAAGCACACCAGAGCTTAATAATGAACCACTTAAAAGAAAAAAAATCTGCAAATCTGAGGCTGGCAGACCTGTAAACAACAACAGCAGAGTGCTTTACCTTCTTGTGATTCTTGTAAACATTTCTGTGGGCAAATCCCTTTCCACAAAGCTTGCATTTATAAGGTTTATCTTCACTGTGTATTATTTTGTGTGCAGTCACTTGATCAAGTCGTTTGAAGGACTTATTGCAAACCTCGCAGGTGTAGGGGCGTTTTTCTGCAGAAAATGAGTGGGGGACATTTAATCTCCTGTTTATACAGGGGGAGAAGATGAAAGGCAGAGACAGCCATCTCCTCAGAGAGATTTTTGCAATTAAGTCAACCCAATTAAGATTAAACCAATTAGAAAGACATCTAATGCCCTTTATGTCAGACAGTTAAGTCACTTCACAAAAGATGAGCCATGGTGTGTATCAAGAAATTGGCACATTCTTTGCAATAATCATTGCTAAAACTAAATTCTGATTAATTAGCTTAAATCAAAAGAGAATGACTTCAAAGAGGAAAACTGTGTTTCCAGATTACAAATGTGAAAGAGGGCATGGCAGTTTAAATGTTTTAAAACTTAATTAACAATATACATATTAGCTTAGAAAACCAAAAGTTCCTATGCAAAAAGCCTTTCTGCTTCAGCTGGTGACTGCAACCTAACTACACTAACTCTCATCCAAGTGTTCAAAGAAAGGCTAGGAGTCTCTGAGATACAGATTATGTCACAAGAAAAGTGCTTTTGGTGCAGACTGACACCAAGAAAACAGTCACATTATAAGCTTGTGCAGCTGTAAAAACCTGCATTTAAAAATGCTAATGAATTTGACAGAACAATGTTTGTGCTTCCGTTGCATTGTGGTGTTTCTAATTACTGGTGAAAGACACAAACACTAGACTGCAGTGATCTGAAATCCTGGCAGGGCCAATTTGTGTCATACTGCCAAACCTATGGCCAGGCCATTCCTTTCTCACAGTGACCTGTTCTGGCAGAGGACAGGCACAATAGAACATATGTGTGTGGTCTACAAAAAGGAGTGGAACATGAGCTGTTTTCCTCTTGACTGGAAACTGGGCACATAAGTCAACTAATACACACATACATACAAATGACTGTTTCCCTTTTTATCACAGATCTCTCTGTCTGACAGCATATCCCAGCTACCATCCTCTTTTCTTCAACATGAAGTTTCAAGAACCAGTCCTTCACCTCCTCTATCAACCAAATAGCAATCTTTAGGCCCATCCCTGTTAACTGACATCATCTACCCCAGACAGCATGAAAAAATAGCTTGACAAGGCAGCAATACAGGAAGAAGAATATAGTATTACACTTGTATTTTTGAAAGCATAGCTTAGATGGCTTCTTTGGAACCTGGAACTCGAACAGCTCAGGACAACACAGAACTAATAAAAACATCTGTAAGAAACTAATTCAGTGAAAATTCAATACACATTAAACACATATAGACATATACATAGGTTTGTGTTATTTTTGTACACTACCTGAATGAGTGATCATATGGCGTTTTAGCTGGTTAGCTGAAATAAATTTCTTGTCACATTCCTGACACTCAAAGATCTCATGGACCTGCAAAATGAGTGTTTAATGATAATTAAACATGTGTCTCAAACAAGATAACACATCTTACATATACAGAAAGTCTCTAACAGACCATGACTACCTCTTAGCCAGTAGCTATGCTCATGACTATTCTGTGATTTCCCCCTTGCTAGTCCCTTGGGAAACAACAGTATCTCTCAAAAAATGAGTATTCATAATTGCAAACAAAAAATATAATTAAAACTCTATTTAGAAACACAGGCTATGCAGATTTGCAATATCAGATCCTCTTCAGATATTATTTCTACATTTAGCCCATATTCAGGACTAAACTACAGCAGTAGCTCTCTCACCCAGTGACCCCTCCCCAGCAAGGAAGAGGAATCAGGAAAAGGAGAGGAAACTCCTGGGTTGAAATGAAAACAGGTTTAAGAAAATAGCAAACCTAACACTAACGACTAAATCTAGTACACAGGGTCATACTTAGCCCAGCCTTAGAAGCAGGAGGAGAAACAGCCCCAGGAAGAGAAGCTCCCTGGCCCCAGCATACCTTTTCTTTTCTAATGAGCATGAGATTTATGGTCTGGGATACACCTGGGAGTCAGCTTGGGGCAGCTGCCCTCACTTAAGCTCCCAGGTGCCTCCAAATTACTGATGGCCTGTCCCCATGACTGCTGGACTGTGATTCTGTTCCTGTGAAACCAGGACATATTATTATGAAGACACTAAATAAACAGATGCAGAATACCTTCTCCAAACATTTCCTTCTAGTAAGTAAAAATAACACAGTAGCTACTTTCCAACTGTTGTAAAAATCTTAAAAAACAAGTACTATCAAACTCAAGATCGCTTCTCATAAAAGCTTTCAGAAGCAAGACAGTAGAGGCACAGCAGTGTCTCAAACGGTAAAGGCAGTATGCATCAGCAGGATTTTCAACATCACAACACATAATGTCATCACGGACTAAATGCTGGAAAAACAGACACAGTTGAGAGCTGCAACTTCTGATACTCAAAAACCCACCCAAAACCTGTGTAATTACATGTCCCCCAAAATCACTACAATACATATTTCTCTACCTGTCAAAATTACCGTTCACCTTCTGCTCTGTAACCTAGCTACCGTGCAACTGAACATACATTTCAGGTTTTTTGGAGCTGCAGCCTCAAACAGCAAAACTTCTCAGCAAAGATTACATTTCATAAAGCTTTTTTGGGGGAACTCTATAGACTTCCTGTAGGAGAATCTAGCAGCTAAAAATAACAAATATCAAAGATTCAACACAATACTGTAATGAAAAACATTTGCAGACAGCATAGTCAAGAAGCGCAACTAAGACTTCCACTTCAAACAAACAAAAAAACCACAGAGAGATTCTGCTTAAGTATTCTGCCTCACCACATTTTTGTGCTGCTACTCACTAACTAATGTTAGAGCAAAGTAAATGTTTTAATAATCTAAAAAGTGGTTGTGCCATTTCCTACTACCTCTGCAAAGCTGCACACTTTGCATAGTGATGCTTAATAAAAACACAGACAGAATCAGGTGGTAAGCTGAAATGGAGATCATTCATTCTAAATATTCTGCTTACCCAGCTGCATTTGAGATTAATTTCTTTTAGATGCACACACAATCTACTACACTACCCTTTCTCAAAAGATGAAGATTTTTACTCTGTTTTACTCTGTTGACTGAAGTTTACATATTTCTGCAACCAAGCGCTATCAGAATTCCCCCTCCAATGTAATTATTTGAAATAACTTGTAAGGTGTTCTTAAACACAATGGTTAATACATCAGAACCCAGACTGTGCTTTAGCACTATACAAATGTCTGATTTCAACTTAAGAGCTGTGTTTAATAAACAGTCTCATTTAATACATTTGTGTCAAAACAGACTTCTGTGCATGTGCAATAAAAAGCTACAGCTATCAAACATATATTCTATACCTGATACTCTTTAATCAGTTGTTTAGTAGAGAATCACAGTTGCGTGCCTGTGCACTAAAAAGCTCTAGCTATCAAGCATATCTTCTATATCTAGCACTCTTTAATCAGTTATTTAGAAAAGTGAACAATTACATGGTAAAACAACAGTAATAAAATACAGCAAATGCTTTTATGAATAATTATATTCTAACAGATCTTATTTTAAGAAAACCTGTCAAGTAACATGCTCTATGAGTATACAGGCTGTAATAGCACAGACAAATGACTGTGCAATGACTTATTTGTATAACATAACTAGTCTCATTAGGGGGCTGCTACGGCTATCAACATAAACCTCTCTTACATTGAGGTTAGAACATATAATTTTTCATAGGCATTTGAATAGCTATACCTTCAGATAACAACTTGCTGAGTGCTATACAAAACAGCAACCATCTGAATGAGTATCTGCTCAGACAAATACACTCCTTCAATTACAGGACTGAGGATCTTAACATTTTCAAAAGATCACTCAAAACAGGTTTTCTGGAGGTGAAACTGAGCTAAATCTTTTAAGATACACGTAATTAATGGTAACTTTTTTCCAAAAACTAATTTGAATTCCCATCTACCACTCCAAGAACCAGCTGAGACTGTCTGTTGGAAGGCAGTGCTTTGAGAGAGCAAGCATATGAGAATATTGCATTCAATTTAAATTATTAAATACTATTGGCTATTTTAAAGTGGTACTCAAAATTTTGCTTCCTATCACTTTCTGTGGATTTCATAGTGATTGTGAAAAGTAAAGATTGCACAGTAGAACAGAATACTGTCCAGTCTTGCACTATAAGGACAGAAAAAAACCCCAGACACACCTGAACTGGAAGGTGAAAAATGGTGGGAAGAATCACAGATGATGTTTAAGAGCAACCCTCCTCACAATTTTGCAGGAAATCAAGCTCTACACTAAACGTTAAGAAAGAATTAAGAATTTTTTTATAAACAATTAAACCATCTCAATCTTTTAGATCAAATGATAAGCAGGAACCTCCTTGGTTCTGTGATTTTCTCTCCAGCAGACTAAGGAACAGCATGCCTCTTAATGGAATCTTACAGTCCATGTAGGAAGTATGCTAAGAAATCCAGAAGGTCAACAGCACAAACTACTTGGACCAGTGAAGCACAAACCTGTGTCTCCTATGGGCACTTTCTTTATGACCTTTTCCAAAGTAAAACAAAAAACTTAAACCAAACCAAACAAACAAAAGCTTTATTGCCTTACACTCAAAGGTGTCCTTAATCTTCTTAACAGCAGCATTAGCTCCTTTCTCATTGAAAACACCTGCCTACAAGAATCAGAAACACTCCACAGCTGTACAGCCAGGGACATACCCCCTAGTCTACCTACAATGACTCCGTGTGTAGCACTATCAATTCTCACTGCATCATCCTAAGAAACCAGCAATGTTGGGATTTGTTTTAATTTTTCTACTATTTCCCCTTACAGAAGAGTAGAGCCTCAGTGGAGGGGCTTGGCAACCTGTGCTGTTCACTTATGCTCGCTTTAAGCTCCTGTGAGCAATTCAAATCCAAAACATAAGACACCTATTTATCAAAGATACAAAAGGAACCCTTTAGCAAGAACCCGCATCAATGAAGCCAACACTCCCCTTGCTTGCTTGCTCAGTATTATCACCACTGAATGAGTTTTGCATTTTGCAACTTCACAATTTAGTATCAGAATATGATTCAGACAATGTTTCATTTGCCCTGGCAGCAGACATCACAAACCTCCAGAAAGGAGATTTTACAAGACTTTTAAATTCTATTATCCAAGTTCCTGTACAGTATTTCCTGAGTTGTGTTTGCCAGGAATGTTTTTTTTTTGTATACTACCATAACACTCAGCAGTCCAAACCATGGACTACCATAAATATCAAGCAGAACAATGCCGCTTTGCAATTAGAGGATAGGACAAAAGAGAGCAGGTGGATGAAGACCGAATGAAAAACAAAGATACCAACCACCACAAAAAAAGCAGTATCAGCAGATCAACATCATAGTTGTTGTTAAAATTTTGTAGGCGTCATGAAGGGGGAGGGTTGGATTGTGGCAAATAGTTTTGGAAATAAACTATAAAGTAGAAAATGTATACAAAACTATTCTGTCATCACTAAGGAAGACAATATAAGAATCCATAATGATTTCCACACTGAATGAAGCTCCACAACACTCAATATTTAGGAATGAGAAATCAAATGCACGAATGCTACAAGATGACCAACAGGTTACATAGCACCACCACAGAAAACATTCATTAATTCCATACAAAACATGAATAAAGAGATTGATGCTGCTGTTAGAAAACACTGCCATTCTGTAATGTATTAACAGACATATTCTCCTTATTAATAAGCTCAGGACAAACATTCTACTATACTTAGCACTACCAAGGGCTCAGCTAAGCATCACTGCAGCAGTTGTTCGGGCAGCAGACTTCAAGAAGCACTAATTGAAAAAAAGAGAACCTGCAGGAAAAAGTTTACTAAAAGAAGAAGTTGTCTGAAAAAACAGATGTGTGAAGCAAGGTTGAGATAACTGTGTTTGTACAGCCTAGGAATTGCAAACACAGTTCATAATGACTTTGCAATATGCTACTTGTTATAAAGATGACAGTGGTGAATTTTTCTTGGCATTCTCTCTGATAAGAAAAAGAGCAATTAACACAATTTGCAGTAAAGAAGATGATTTAGGTAGGGCATCAGAAAAAACAAACACTGACTAATGAACACATTCAATGAAGTTGACGGCACTAAAGATGAAAGTCAGAATACTAAGAGACATCAATGGAGGTGGTAGAATTTTCTTCAGTGGAACTTTTCAGGAGATGAGACAGTGCATATCTAGGACAGTATCAGATCGGTGGTAACTCCTATTGGCGAAGTAGAATGGGTTAGAAAACCCCCTGAGATCTCTTTCAGCCTTACATTTCCTTGGATTTATTGAAATAAACAAACACCAATCAAAAAACCAAAACAAAACAGAAAAAGAAACCCAACAAAACAAAAACAACAAAACAACCATGAAAGCAAAACCAAAAAAACCCCATGCCACCAAAAATCAGGATGATACAAGCAACAGTCTGAAAACCAAGAAGGTAAGACTAAGAGACAAAAGATGATAACCAAAAAGCAAGGGTTTAGTTTCATACATCTGCAAGACATACAGAGCTAAAAACGGGTTTAAATTTAAAAAAATAATAATAATCACAAAAGCTATTGATCTGAATTATTGTGTCTTAAGAAAGGAAACAGATCTCTATCTCCCTCATAGCCACACCTTCTTTCAGATCTCCATCTCCTCTGTAGCCACCCACTTCAACTTCTTTCTCCATGTTTGTCACATTTTTCTGTCTGTTGTTTGGGCTTATTTTCTTTTACCTCCTGTACTTTATTTACCTTTCTATTCTCTACTTCTGTTTCTTTACACTAACAGGAAATGGGTGAAAAAAATCTCCCTGTTTAACCTATTCTTTTCTTACTGTTTTTATATCCCATCTAAATATTTTTGGCAATATTGGTGATGGATCTTGTCCCACTTCCTACAAGAGCAAAGTAATTCAAGTAAACAGCAGGCATGAGTCTTACATGCCACTACCTTCTCCATCTGATGTAGGCATGTGAATCCAAATATCTGTTTTCTGGAAGTATTAAAAAAGGAGCCAATCAAGAAAAGGAAATAAAGAAGTTTTATGCACAAAATCTTCATGGCGATTCTTAAGATGAGAAAGTGCTCAACTGACCTACCATCAATGCAACTTGAAAAGCTTGTTTGTGTGCGTCACACAGTGTATGCACAGGATTACAGGACTACAACTACTGAAAAAAACCCAAGCATTTTAATAAACACTAACCATGATATTTTACATTTTCAGATTCTGATATGTAAAACAAGTTCTGATATATAAAAATTATAATTACATGTGACAAGGACACAGTTTGGTCTGAGGAGTAACAAAGTATAGCCTTGTGAGACAAATTCAGGGCATATTCATACAAGCAAGGAGAAAAACAAATTTAAAAGGAGGGGCCCCGCTATTTCCATTGCAACAACATATTTTAGTTGATATCATCCATATCCTCAATGGATTCTGGTTAGAATCAGGACATTACTAAAGAATCACAGTTAAATCTGATAAACAGTACAATGTAGTTTTTTATAAAAAAATAATCACCTGGGTTTTAGTGATTTATCAAATTAATCTTGCAGGGACTACCCAAAGGAAGTCCATCTGCATTTCTATATGAACCCCCTTATTTTCAACAGATGCCAAAGTGTTAACTCCTCCTGTTCTGGTTATAAAAGATTACAAGCATAAACAAAAAGACTTCTACAATTTGTTTTTGAGGAAGAAATTTTTTTAGTACTGCATAGCTATATTACAAGTAACACCCTTGCCAGTATGTCACAAGGTAGTAAGAACGACTGATTGCATTTTGTACAAAAACTGAAGGCTCGTGAACCTATTTTATTGTCTGTATGTATCCTACCATTACATAACATACTTTCACATTTATCTTAGTGTTTAAGAATGCTGAAGAACAGCAGACAACTTTAACATAATGTTGGGAGTGCAGAAATGATAGAAGCAAAAAGATCTTTTATTTGGTAAAAGATGCATTAAAACTTCAGGAAGACTTCTGGTTTAATCAATTATGACTACAAAAATAAAAGCCCACAAAAAAATACATTTGTTCTGTAACCATGAATGAGATTACCCAAAGGTTTGCATTACTTTCAAGTGACCCAAGCATCAAAGCCTCACATCTCAGTGAAGTCAAAGCCTGCTGTGGGTTACCCTTCATCTTACTGACCTTTCGATGCTCTTGGAGATTTGTTGCCGAGGAACATTTCTTACTGCACACTGAACACATCAGCTTCTTCCTAGAATTTCCTGAAACAGAAACAAAATACCACCACCATCTTAAAAAGGAACTGCTAAGAAAGAACCTAAGTATTTCCACCAAGTCTGTGACTTTTCATAGGTCATTTGACTGACATAAGATTTTTACATTTGTATTCAAAGTGTTCCGTATCAGGAGTTCTCTGTGGGTGTCCAACCAACCAGTTACTGATGGAATATAAATCAAGAAAACTAGAACAACAACAAAAAAAAACCACCCTTCAAATAGACGTTATCGCACATAGCCAATCCTATATGAAGAGCACAATTCATAACTAAGAACATCTCACTTTCTAACTGAACAGTTGACTTCTTCCAGAAGTCAATACGGGAGTTAGTGCAGCAATGACAAAAAAGATCTCAAACTGAAGTTAAAACCACCGTCTCCCATTTTTCTTTATTCAGAAAGCATTAAGCATTCTAATACATAAAATATAATTACTGGTCTTTATCTGAACAATACAGGGAAATTGCATTAGCATCAGATAATTAATTCAAATCTCATCTAAAATGTAAATTAGAAAACAAGGTACAGGTCAACTATCAGATGTATTTTTCTTCCCTTTTCATAGTTGCTTTAAAAGTGACAGAGCATTTAATTTGGTTTATCTTTTATTTACCTTTTGAAATTCACTTTAACAACCCACAAAGCTATTTTATTGTAAGTCAAAGCCACTTCAAACCTAATTCTTTGTTTAGAATTGCATACCCATGCAAGATATGTCCTAGTTTACGTGAAAAAAAAAAAAAAAGTTCGTATTGCATTGAACAGTAAAAAGCTTGGACACTGAATAAAAGGACTGGAGTACTGCTTAGTCATGCATTGAGAAAATACGGATCATAAAACTAACTCACTAGAAGGCTCCCAGCTCAATTTTTAAGAGTTTTAGCATCCTGTATCTTTCTTGCTCTTGCTGTTCTAAAAAATTAATATTATGTTGACACTTCTTACTACGACATACCCTGACAATTACTTAACCTCACATATGTATTTGCTGTTATGACTTATGACAATATTTACATATACACTGAAATACACATAAATACAGGAGTTTACCTAGTACTTCAACTTAAAAGAATAGTAAAGAGAAGTGTCCTTCAATGGTAGTAGGTTATTTTCCTTCCCACACTGACATCAGTTTTGATTTCTATGACTCCCAAGTGGTAAAATAAAAGCTCTGATCCTTGTGCAGGAAGAGCAAAAATATCCTCCAGGCATCTGCTGTCAGTCATATCTGGAGAGATCATTAAAGAAAATTGTGGAATTTGTACACCACTGCATAACTACCAAAGCTAAACCTAAATATAGCAACACTCATGGATGAAAAAAATGCTTACCAGTACTGAAAAAAATTACAATTTTTGTAAGAATGGATATGGAAAGGTTTCTGTATGCTGCAAGAGTTTGTCAGAAGAAAAAGATTTCATGTAATGAAAATCCTACAAAGCATCTCAGTGCTGTCACCATCAACTAAAGACTTGTTTTCTTTGCACTGTGGTATTCTGATGTCCCCACACATACTGATCTTCCATTGACATCAAAAGAGGACATGCAGAGTGAGCAGAATGCCAGAAATGAGATATGGATTCTGGACCTGAGAGAAGTATTTTGCCCTTTCAAGAAAACAGAGTGAAGTTTGAAAACTGTTGATTCACACTGCACAGATACAAAAAGGCTAGGGCCTAACTGGACTAGTGGATTGTCTGGTCTGGCTTCCTGCACAACAGATGCAATAGAAATTTTATGCAATACTCTCATCAAGCCTAATCATTTGTGAAGCATGTCTTCCAGAAAGATATTCCATTGTGTCCTGAAAATGCCAAAAAGATCAAGAACTCACCACTTCCTTTAGCAGTTTGTGCCAGTGATTGATTCTTCCCACTACTGAAATATTTTGCTTTATATTTATTTGCCTAGTTTAAACTTCCCCAGATTCTTATTACATTCTCTGCAGTAGATTAATGATTCATCTGGTATACAGTCATTTCTCCTTGGGGGAGGAGGAACAGTTACTCTTGCAATTAGTTACTACTTAATTTTCTTTTCAGTACAATAGAATCCATTTTAAAAAAAAAGAAAAAAAAAAGACAACCTGATTTGCAAATTTAAGGCTAGAAATGTGTTACAGGGTTTTTTCCCAAAGAAATATGAAACTTTTTCTTACCACTGTGAACATTTTCTTTATGTTTTTTCAGGGCATCCTTACTCTTGAACCTCTTCCCACAGCTATCTGCCTTGCATATGAATCTTGCATCCCCTCTGCATGCCTCCTTGTGCTGTTCATAACTATTTGGGATAACCAGTAAAAAAAAGGCAACACATAAAGCAGTATCTCCAGAAACCAGACACATAGTAAGTACTCTGAGCTTAAGGCATGCTGCACTGCAGAGTTCGAAGGGCACCTCATGCATTACTTACAGCAAGTAGGAATGAAAGCATTTGACTCCTTTCACTGTTAGGATTCACATAAACTAACAAGCTTGAAAACTAACATGCAAAGGGAGGCCAGCAATGACATAACAGCAGTCCAGTAACTCAGACACAAAACCTCGATTCTGAGCTGAAGGAAGTACTGCAAACAGAGCACTGAAAACTTCTTGAAGAGTCTCCTGGGCTGATATTTTCTGTACACTGAAGTACACTAAAGAAAAAACAAAACAAAACAAACATAAGGGGAACATTCTAGATCTAACAAAGGCTTACAGTAGCTAAAAGCATATATACAGCTCTACAAATGTTTGAGCAGGTGAGTTATCTATTTCATATGTGAAGCCTCCTGGAATTTAGTGGGAACTAACCAAATGCATCAACAGCCAGAGTCAGGATCATACTGCTGTATGCTCACACAAATTATTATTACCTTACATATAGTAATATATATTTCTATTGGCAAGCAAAAAATACACAAATTACAACAAAAACAGTTATGTTTTTGTACAAAAGTATGACCAAAAGGTATATGACTTCAGTGACAGAACTGCATATTTGCATTATCACAGACAGTAAAGATGTGCTCTTAAATCTCCAGTCTTTCATGTTTCTATTTGTATTTTTTGCAATGACCCAAACATTTAATTAAGCAAAAGTGAAGTATTGTTTTTCCTTTTTTTCGGTCCTTTTACATTTTCTAAATCTTGCTTTAGTTCTGTAACAACACTGACATCTTAAATAATTACATCTCCTAAAACTACTAAATAGTCCACTGATGGAGACCAATAGCTTTGCACCAAACGGCAGCTCTAACCTGGTCTACCATGCATGATTTTAAAATGTAAAAAAGTAGCAACATTTTTGCAATTTAAATGGAAGTCTCCAACATATACAAGAAATTAACAATAAAAAGACTAATGTGAAGAGTAAGGATACCAATATATAGGCATAAAAATTAATGCTTAAATAGCAGTTAAGCCAAGAGAAATAAGTGATCGAATGAAACTGACTAAAATTATTCCTGAAAAATCATTCTGTTTTTTACTCACTGTCTTTGTAGAGCTTGTTTAACAGGGAATTTCTTTCCACAGTTTCGGCACTTAAATTCCTTTTCCTCGCTGGGTTTTTGGTGCAGAGTCTGAAGATGTTCAGCTAGAATCTCCTGGCTGGCAAAACTGGATTCACAGTTTGGGCACGCATGGTCCTGTTTACATGTGAGGGGATCTAAATGATTGGAGGCAAAAACAGTGAAGGAACATTTTGGTAACATTAAGAGAGACTCTGCCAGAAACCTATTATGCAAAACAGCATCACAAAATTCCCCAAAAGACATTGTATCTCAATGGATTGTAGACAACCTCATCTTGAGTGGATTACTGGGTTCTTACTGGGCAAAGAACCTCAACTCAAAATAAAAAGATTCAAAAAATCACACAAAAACTCACACTAAATGTGACAAGCCTTCTGGTTTCACATTTCTACACAGTTTGTGCTCTCTTTTGTCTTTGTTACTACTTTTAAGCTCTCAGGTTATCCTGTTTCTTTACATACTGCTCACCTGTAGTTTTTTCACCCACTGGTTGCACATCTTTATTGTTGCCACTGTCTTCATCTTCCTGGATAACAGTTACTTCTTCCTCCTCCTCCTCCTCCTCTTCTTCCATGTCACTGTCCAAGTACCCGATCAGAAGTTCTGTGTCTGTTTCAATATCTTCCACAGCCAGATAGAAAATATTTTCTCCTTCCTGTTGCAAACAGCAAGTAGAAGCAATTAGTAAATATGTCAGAAAAAGTAAAATTTAGAGACAAGTATGGGACCCTAAGCTAATATTAGCCCTCAACTATGGAAGGGCTGGCTCCATTCCTCAAGGAGCACAATGCTAGAAGAGCCTTTCTAAGACTTCTTTCCGAGTGTTGCTGCACATATAAAGTGGTAAAATTCTCCTCTCCTGCCAGACTCTGCCTGACAAGAACTTCAGAGCTTGAAAATTAAACATTTGAGTATTAGAAAAATAACAAAAGTTTAATAACCAATACAGCTTTAGCTCTGTCTCCTGTAGGTTGCATGAATTAAAAAACAGCTTTCAGTGGCATATTTACATAGTATTATTTTCCCTCTCTCTCCCCCCTTAAGTTTCCCAGTCTTTTTCAATGCTGGTCAGTTATCTTCACAATCAAGCCAACCTTCTGCTGGTCTAAATCAGTGTAGGTACAGAGATCACAGAAGGGCAAAGACCCAGCCCAGAGTCTGTGTAAGAGGACAAACAACACAATAATAAGCTCCAAGACCTTCCCTAAAATAAATAAACAAGTTTCCAAATAGACACATAAGCTAACAACTTTCGCCTTTGACAATATTTAATTAAAGTTACAAAGGTAGGCAGGGGGCACAAGGGAGGATTCTATAGCATAACTAGCTGTCTCCTAAACTGACAGAGCTGGGTTCTTTTGCGATACATGAACTAACAACTTTAGGTACTAGCCAAAGCACCAAAAGAGATTTTAATTTTTTACATACTGAAGACTTGCAAGTTCTATCAAAAATCTTAAAGCTTAGCTGACTAACATCCAGAAAAGTTAACAGAAGCTTCTTTACATCTAGCCATATATTTTGTAACAAGCTTCCTAGCACAAAGACAGGATAAATATTTTTAATTTTTATAATATATTAAGATTAATTTTAACTTCCAACAGGGATATAATATTCCTCGAGCTTTAGAGGACCTGTTATATATTACAGAAGATACTGTCACACAAGAGTGAAACCAATTCAACAAACTCGATAGAGCTACTGCTTTCAAGGACACATCACTTTTCTGTCCATATCTCAACAGCAGCATTGAAAAAGAAAACAAACCATGCATTTTTTTTTCAAGACATATATTCTTCAGTCCAGGTATCTAGCTGCAGGCCACCCTAACTTCTGAATACATCTAAAGGTTGCTGTTTTTCATGAGTCTCTGTCAAGTCACAAAGACGTTTAATTTACTACAGACTAAACAAAAAATAAATTCTGTACTGAAACTCTTGACGTGAGGAAAAGTAAAAAATCGTTCAACAATTAGACCAGATAAAATCACTGAGGTAAACCTCCATAACTGTTTAGGAGAACCTTATTCTAAAAGCAAGACAACCTTATAAAACAGAAGTACATACCTATTACTGGCTTGCCAAAACAAATAAAATAAAAAATAACTAAAAAAAAACCATGTAACCCAGGTAAAAACAAAGTCCCAAGCTTACCCATTAAAGAACAAAATAGCACACATTTCTATTACATCATCTTACACCACACTGTAAATCTGAGAGAACAGCAACCAATTATCAATTACTTAGGTTAGCCTAGGGCAAGTGGAAGAATCCTAACAACCAAACTCTTATCAATATTGATGCATCCTCAGCACCTTATGTGCATCTGCGGCTTTTATTATAGCTCTGGGTCTACAAAAATCCTGGTTCTTTCCTATTTGTGTACTTCTGGTTAGTAAAAACATTAATGGAAGAAATATTAAGGACTCTGAATGCTCGAGTGCTCTTGGTTGCATTTGCTATGAAAAGAAATTAGCTTTAGTGCCAGTCCAAACTGAAACACAGTTCAAACTCACTTCTTCTCGAAGGATAATTTGTCTGGTTTTCCCAAACAAATGCTAATAGTCAGGTATTCAAAGCGCTGTAAGCAGGTCCTCAAGGCAGCATTTTCACTGGAACCAATGGAAGTTCTCCAGAAATTACAAGGGAATTTAAGTCTCTCCCTGCACCAGCAGCACCTGCATGAAGCACATTTATCTACATGCATGCAGACAGACACAGTAAATGTAGTAAGAAATCTTTTAAATAATGTTAATAATCCTCCCATTTCTAAGAACACGTCTACATTTGTTATACTTGCCCATATGCTTTGGCCACATCAGTTGTTTTGCTAACCATGTTCATCTGCAGCTGGCCACAGCAGTCCTTGGGAGAAAACTCCAAGTGCAGGTCACAGTGGCATCACAACCTCCCCTCACGCTATTCCTGGCCTATTCTTCCATTTTGCTTTTCTCACCCCCACCTTGAATGTGATCTTTTAAGCTATAAGCCACACTGACATGACCAGAAAAGACTTATTTTTTCAACAGGTCTTGCTATTCCATTTTCACCTCACTTCCATGTACCTCCACCATTCAGATTGCTACACACCACAGCTACACATTTTCATGTGTGCTTTGTAAGAGGGGAGGCTGAGAGGCAACGTAGGCCAAGAAGCATTGACAGCCCATCACACTGTCATGGAAGAGGGGTAAGCAACTAGTTTTGTGTTACCTGAGGGAGAGCTTGACTTTTCCATCCTCCAGAGCTTGATCACATGGCTGCAGCCACACCTTCCTAATTGTTACCAAGTTTCCCTGTGCCCACAGCCACCTCACACAGCACTACCTGGCTTTGTGCCACACACGGCTACCTGGCGGCAGCTCTTCTGCAAGTTCTCCTTTGCTGCACAGGGGTTTTTAGCTCAAGATTAACTAGGACATAATTGAATTATGCCACACTTGAAGACACACATTTGTGAAATACCACTTTAAACCACTCTAGCACCTCACAGATAAATATCCCCCTTCACATTAGTTTTCACTATTCATTATTCTAACTCACTGTTTTCTAAGCTACAGCAGAACATCTCAGCATCTGCTTGCTAATGAAAAGATACTTGCATTTAAAGCTCTTGCTGGCGCAATTCTGTTCATAAAAGCGTTGCAATGCTAACAACAAGGTATGTTTTGCACAGTAATCTACAGCAGAGAGACTTTCATAAAATTACAAGTGACAAAAAGATAATGTTATCCATTTTGGATAAAAGAAAATTGAAATAAAATACCCTACCTACTCTAAAAACTGAAAAAAAACCCCAAACTGTGGTGTTTTTGATAGAAGCCTTTTCCTTTTGATTATGATAATTACCATGAATTTTTGCTACATATCCTAAGTCACATTCATAAGTAAGTAGCTAGGAATAGCCCAAGGCAAAAGAGATTACAATTCATACAGTTTCTTTTAAGGCAGAAGTTGTCATTCTAAAGCTACTTTATATTAGAGTATTAACTCATTCAATTACTACTTGAATTCAAGTCACAGAAGTCTCCAGCAATACAGCTGTGCCACGTACTCAGAACCGCAATTAGTACATACACAGGTACCCCTCAAGAAATTATTTCCTATCCCTTCCTAGTCAAAGACAACCCAAACATCACAGCTGTCCCCCTGAGAAGCAAAACTCAGTGCCCAGAACACTCTTTTGACACTACCACCAAGAGCTCCCACCAGAACCAGGGTTTTACAAAATACATAGCATTAGAGGGCGAAGAATATTTTTTAATTTATTTTTTTAAAAAAACACATACACAAACACATTCCACCCTACACCCTGCCTGAAATAAACCACCCAAGGAAATCCATAAAAAGCAACCTCAGCATCAAACTTACTTAAATAAAAAAATATCTCTAAGAAACATTTTCACCACAGGAAGCATTCTGCACAATGCCTAAACACAATCATTTGGTATAATTAATCTTTTATGAATTAATTATATTTTGCAGTCAACCCAGGATGTGGTTTAATTTGTTTGTGCTCAGGCATTCACTTCATCTTCTTTTAAACTGAATACTGAGCAGCAAACAGTAAACTGATTAGCAATCACTTTATTTTGGATATGAAATTATAACCTTTATCACTACTAGCATGTCACCATCAGGATTGGAAATTGCGCCAGAGTAGACCAAGAAGGTCCTGATGGAGTACTGCAGTCTGAAAAACTAGTACGAAAGATAATTAGCAGAAATTATCATTATCAGGTAGGAAGTAATTATTTTCTGTTCATCTTTTTTTTTTAGTTCATGCAAAGTCTCCTAAAAAATTGCAGAGGGGCAGCTTTGAAGCACACAACCAGCATTAAGTTCTTACGCATCCAGAGGACAGACTTAGGACAAGCAAGAGAAGCCCTTGTTCTGCCACTATGGCTTACTTGGGTTTTTTTCAGATGTTATAGGCTAGTATCATTAATCTTGGTCAAATATTTTCCATTAATCATTTTTAGCTTCTAAGATTAACTGTTAAAGATTCTCTTTAAAGACTAAGCATTAGAAGAGAGAGAGAAGAACCTACTTTTAAAAAAATTCATCCATCCCCACAAAAATCTTCATAAAATACAAGTGTCTGGAGAAAAATGTACATTTCACAAATGTAATTATAATGTCCTGGTTACAACACAAAGTCTCTAACCACCTATAAATATTTGATGTTCTCCTCTTAGCAAATTAAACCATTCTATAGCTATTCAGACATATTCTAATTTATCACAGAAAATGTAATCATACAGTTGGTTTAAGGAATTTTTCTTGTTTGATGTAATAATCTGTATTGCCAACTCTTCTGTTTTTTAAATTATATCAGATACTTGTTCAGCAATGCAACTTTTTTTTCGCAGCCACATTAACTTCTGAGTAATTATAATAAAGATAAAAAAACTTTACTGATGTAAAACATTTTATCATCTTAGCTGCATGAACGCAACTCTCAATTAAAAATAAAATGTATTGTTAGTGGAAACATCCCACTAATGTTTTGCCCACTGATTTCATAAAACAAAGTGCTACTGCACCAAGTAGCCATGAATCAGCTTTCATTCAAAGCAAAGACTGGGATTAAAATAATGAAGGATTTGTGCACTGTGTTATTTTGTTTTGTTTTTCCTAAAGGAATAGCAGAGTTTTGGGATTTGCATCTTCATCCACTAAAGTAAGATCAAACCCTGCAAAAAAATTAGACATGTATTCTACTTTTTTCAACACAAATAGTACCTATTAATGTCATATGCAAATGATACTTATCTGTATTTACATATATATACAGCTTCAAGGTCACTCACATACAATACTCAAGTTACTTTGGTAGCTGACTACTGACAATAGTAAAAAAACTATGAGATACTTTAGAAAATTTTTTAAGTTTGCCTTCCTTATGCTTTTCATCATTTTGTACATACTGATCACATATATCTATTTTTCCCTGTAATTTTACCAAATGTTTTTCTGTGGAAGATTTTATAGGACTAACATTCTTTTTTCTTTTGAAGCCATGCATTAACTCCAGCATGATCCTCTAAAAAGGCATGCAAAAAGCACAAAGCATACTCTAAAAGCAAGGTGTAACATTATGCAATAAAACCTAACAGTTTATTTCAATTTCTTTTTTTAAATCATCATTCTCATCATTAAAAAGAACAGCAGTACACACTGGATATTCCATTAAAATTCCTATTTAGCTCAGGTCATTTTACTGAGTCTTTTACTTAAAAATATAATAATGAACATTAATTGTTCATGCTGCTCCCCCTTGTGAACCCTACTTTACATATGCTAACATGGACTGCAATTTGCTATCACACTGGATATGCACTGATGACATGCTAATCACTGATTAATGCCAAGGACCCCTCATGTATGAGGACCTTTCACATTTGGTATTATAAGCAGGACAACAACCCTTTTGATAGATCTAAGTAGAATTGAGAGAAAAAAGACAGAAGGAATACATACAGAAATAACTGCATAGGTAGATGTCATACTAAATTAACCACCAATTTGTCATAGACATCAGGAAAAACATAATAAACCAGTAATTCAGTCAGTGCTGAAAACAGTTTTTGACAAATGGATGAACAGGTTTTCTTATCTGTTACTTAAAATTCAATTGTAGCCAGGCTGTTGAGACCTAAAGAAGTCTGAACCACTGACAACAGCCTAGAAAACAGGCCCAGAGGAAAAGCAGGGGATGAAGCTGTCTACAGCAACCTAAAACATGTACAGCAACAAGGTCCAAGGAAACAACGCCAGCTGTGAAACTGCAATCCTGTTCAGCTAGCAAGCATGTGATAGGATATTACAAACTGACACCCAGCAAAGCTTTGGAGAGTAGGAGGCACAAATACTGTGACCAGCATAAGTAGAGAGGTGATTGTCCCCCTGTACTCAGTACAATGTTTGTCTTCAAACATGTCACACTTTTACGTAAAATCTTAAAACTATAAAGTAAATGCATGATTCTGGTTTCCAAACACCTAAGCCAACCTGAGTTTGGCATTAAAGAACAACTAGTTCTTTACATTATTACTTGGGATTCAGCCAGATATACTGTTACCTATTTATCTTTCTAATTTCCACAATTATAAGAAAACAACTACATTCAGGCAATAGAGTAACTTGACTGAATAAGGGTGTACTGACAAAATTCACTGTTTTTACAGTAGTGAGTTAACTACTCTAGAAATAGTTATTTGTTTAAGGGAAACTGTTCACTTTAAGTTCAGAGAAATAGTTAATGTAAGTGATTCAGTGCATGGGTTAATATAAAACTTTCAAAGACTATCAGATTCTAACTAAGGAACTCTTTGGTCTTTCATCCTATCAATCTTATTTATGGTGTTATGTTTAAGCACAGTAGCTCACTTCTAAAAAGAAAAGTAAGAAAAGGAACATGGTTTGCTACTTTTCTCAGCTCTTGTAATTTTACTGCAAGACAAAGACCAAAGATGAGATTAAATTAGTAAATCAACAATAGGAGCAAATTGTAGGAATCCACCAAATCTACCTGGATGGCTGCCAGATTCTTCTGTTCCTGTGATGGAGCCTCATGGACAAAACGCAGCCAATTGGAATGGCGTGGATTACTTGCATCCAGGATGTAAAGGACCTCACCTTTACTCCCACGAACCTGAAATATTTAAAAAAAAAAAAATTAAAATCAAGCAAAATTTAAATATTTACCAAACACATACAAACATGTAAAACACCAAGTCATGCTTGTGCTCCACAGGCAAGTCTTGCATTCAACCAGTGGTACTCAATGTCTGTGGTGCACATTCAGATTTTTCTATAAACCTGTTTATTCATTTCAGACTAGTGGGGCAACTCAAGTCCAGAGACTACTGTGAATTTCCTTTATAAAGCTCCCTCTCTCTTTTCTTAGCATTTCCTTTAGTAAACATGTACTATAACTGAATCCTGGGACTCCCTAGTCTGACAGTATGGTCTATCTTTGTTCTTTCCAGTTCCATTTTTCTTAGTGGTCCTGCCAGAAACAGATACAACCTCAGAGGTCCCTTTTCATGTTTTCCTTTTTGAGTTCTCCTCCTTCGCATGTTTTGATGCCATCATTTTACTCCTACAGTCTACCTAATGCTTATCATACTGTCTTTTGTCATTCAGTCCAACTCTCATTTCTTTATCCAAATTAAGGTTCTAAGCACTCCTGTCTCCACTTCCTTTTCCTTTCCTCACAACTCACTATTATTGTCCTACTTTCCTTCTCCAACATATTGTCCAAGAGTGAACCATTCTCTTCTGTAACCTACACATATCCTCTAACTCACTCCTCAGGTCATTTTGCAGCATTTCTCTTCTGCTAGCACCACAGACAAGGCCAACAGTAACTTTCTTCTGGACAAAAGTGATAGAACATTCTCTATTCTTGTGCTATTCCAACCACCATTTGGTTCCAACATCACTGAGTTCAGGTTCTTGTTTGCAAATATATGCCTGCCCATGTTCACACAGTGAGCTTTTCTTTGATAGTTCTTCACCCTTCACTTCCGTTTTCATACATGGTATTCTTCTAGACTCCTCCTTTGATCATTATGTTCTAGCAGATCCTATTCACCCTCTCCATCCAGTTCCTAAATCTGTTTCTGCCTACTTTCATATTTCCAAAAGCTTCTCAATCTTAACTAGCAACCATCACAAACAGAATATATCCATTTCTGAATTCAGCTTTTCCACTATCTTTGCTGGTTTCTCTCTCCTGTAAACTCACTAGTTACTCAACAAGCTTCCAATCCAAATTACCAGTTCTGTCTCCATTCCCATCCCACTACTCCATCACTAAATCCTCTTTTTGCTTCATCCCCCCAAAACAACTTCTCTGCTTCATAAATTCCAAATCCAGTAGATATGCTTTAATTACTGTTAACTCTTACCGCCCCACAGCAATCCTAAATATCCCAGAAGCTGATGAAACACTTAATGAAAACCATATTCTTCCTTTCTCTTTCTAGTCTTCTATGTTTTTTTGGTTTGGTTTGGTTTGGTTGCTGGGGGGTTTTGGGAGTTTTGTTTTTGCTTTTAACAAGGGCAAAAATCTATCTTGCCCTTGAATGGAGATCTATCTTCAGATCAAGGAACAATATAACTGCATTTATTCATTCCATGTATCCGGAGTTTTGTTTTTGCTTTTAACAAGGGCAAAAATCTATCTTGCCCTTGAATGGAGATCTATCTTCAGATCAAGGAACAATATAACTGCATTTATTCATTCCATGTATCCTAGTTTATTGTTCAATTGAACATCTTTTATATATGTCACTTTAAAGAAAATCTAAATATGTAGCCTCCATGAATAGCAGTCAGTTTTAAACTATGCTTGGCTGAAGTTCTATCAGAATACGAGGTTATTTCAGTAAACAAATTGGTATATTCTGTAAATGAAAGGCTGCAAATTATTTAGTAAACAAACATGTTCAGGTTTTGTCCACTAAGTGAAGAAGCCACTTTAATAAATGGACACCTCAGTTATGTTATCAACATATCAGGAGCTTTTAGCTATCGTTACAGATCTATAGAATTTCTATGACTCTGACAAAATTACAGCTGACATTGAAAAAAAAGAAAATAATACAAATAGAAACTTAGTTTTAATCAAAGCATTCTTCCCCCTTGAAACACAAAGGCATATTGCTGAAAAAAACAGAGCTGCCATTTTGCCATATAAAAATTTGCTTATTTTGTTTTAAATGATAGATCATTTGAAACTCCACTAATACAGAAGATAGAGAGCCATGCAAAAAGGTCAGACAGCCACTCTATTATTCCATGTGATTTATTTATGTAATGAACATATTTTCTTTTTCATCTATCAACAAGAAGTATCCAGAGCAGGTATTTCTGAAGAGCTAGGGATTTCAACTATGTAAGAACAAAACCAGATTGTCTTCATGGCTTTGTATTTAAATTGCTCACATTCTTGCTGTATTTGTTTCTAATAGATGCAATATCATATGTCTTCAGTATGGCTGCTTAAATTACTTAAACATTTAGAATATGATTAGAAAGAGAAAACTGTATCCATTACAGTAATAGCTGGTGACAGCATGTTGTTCTCAGATTTAAAAACCAACCCTACTGCAGTTCTGCAAACAAATAAAAATCTTCAAGATTTATTACTGTTCTTCCAAAGGAAAACATCTTAAGGACACATTAAAAAATTACAATATTTCAAACTTTAAGAGTTGTTTTACTTTCAAATACAGAGATTAGCCATGGTGAAGTATGTCAAGTCTATATACTTAAAACGCACCTGGAAACAGTATTATCTAACACTAAGCACTTCAATGGGTTTTCCAGAGGATTTTTGTGTCATCTCCATCCTCAAGGATGCAGATACTAAAAAGCTGTCCTGGACAGCTGTCAGTAGGTGGCCCTACGTGGGCAGGGGGGTTTGACTAGGTGACCCTCAGAGATCCCTTTTCACATCAGCCATTCTGGCACTTAATCACCTCGGGAAGTAATACCTGCTTGTTACTGGAACCATTGCTTTCATTTGGAACATGGACAGAATGAGTGTGACCAAACCATAAAACCAAGCTCCAAATTTACACAAAAATACATTATAACAGTGTATTCACCTCCTGAAAAGCCACCTGCCAACCAGAAGCACTGGATCAATTCTACTGTAATTGACATCCAGTTCTAAATAGGTAATCCACTGAGCAGAACCTCACTTGAAGTGAAAATGGTTAACACTGCAGATTAGCATCTTTGAGTAATTACAGACAAGCTAATGGCTTTGTGATTTAGCTACCAAAGCATGGGTCACAGAGGCCCACCACGAAGTCACTATAAAGGCTTCCATCAGATCTTGATTTGAGTTGGAAAGAGAAGCAATCAAGATCCTATTAAAAAAACACGTTACACTGTCTTTCCATCCATTATTCTTCTTAACTTGATTGATGCTAAATTATGTAAGAATAATATACATTCACTTCAACCTCAGTTGTGCTTTCTTAGTCTCTGCCAATCCATAGTTACCAAACACAAAGACTCAACACATAAGGAAACTATTGATGAAATAATAAAATAAATCCCTTAAAGTTGTGTTATATTGTCTACTGCTTTTTTCACCTCGTAAAGAAATAATGCTGCATCAAATACACAAATGTGAGGAAGAAAAAAAACCAAACACAAAACAACACCGTCTCCATACTGAATAAGGTTTCTTGGCTTTATCTCTGAGATACCTCTTTTACAAATATTCCCACACGTATACTTACCACTTAGTCCATGGGAGAACTAAACAGAATTAATACTGCAACAAAGCTTCCAGTCTGCTGCCATGGGACTCCCTTCCAATCTCCCAGCCTTTCCAGAAATCTTCAGGACAACCTGCCTACCACAACTAGCAGGAAATTGCTGGGAAAATGAGGATGTCTTTCAGAGAGAGGCAACAAAAAATATTTTTGTATATTGCAAACTAAATCTTCTTTAAGGAAGATTTTCTTAATGTACCTTCAAGCCAATTGCTACATTTCCGCAGCACATTTGAACTGTTACAATCTTTTACAGCTATAAGGTACTCAAAATAGAGGCAAAAGGTTTTTACAGGACTGAGTTTCCCCAATGATTTTTTGAAGTAGTATGCAATTTCACAAAGCTAGTGAGCATATCTGTATTTTGTAATTGTGACCTTTCAATCTGTCACCTGTCTACATTAATAATTCCAGGTTTGAATATTATGTTCCTGGTTTCCATACAGTTGGTATTACCTGAACTAAGCAAAATTATTCAGTTAACTTGAGCTGCATTCCTTAAGATCCTCAAGCTGCTGAAACTATTTTAACAGACCTGAACTCAAGTATAAAAGTATTTCTAACTCATTTTCTAAGGCTACCAAACTAAAAATGTTCTGAAGTCACAAGACCAATATGAAATAGCAAAGGACCAGTCATCTTCCTAGATCAACAGCAACTTAGAAGGATTGAATGATATGTCTACATGGAGAATCAGTGAAAAAAGCTGGAAAGAGACCTCAAAAGCCTAGCCACCAGCATGATATCCTACTATAATGTTTTGTTATGTTTAAAACAGGACCTTATCCCTATTTTCTCCAAATAAAGGAGTAAATCCACACAGGTTGAGGCTGCCTGCTGTAGTTTAATAGACAGTCTTGGTCTAAGACCCATTTATTGCTGAGGCTCTTTCAATCACTTGGGCCATGATGTTCCTGTAGTTTCAGTAACCAATGGAGATAACTTGGAATTTCTACTACCAGTGAGTGATACAACCAGACGTGGTTACCTTTGATTTCCCAGGCTAAATAATTAAGTAGCAACTCATTTCATACTTAAGTGTAGGAAGACTTTGGCATGAAAAAAGGTTGATTCAAATCCATGCCTGATAACCCATGGCAAAAAAATATAAAACTTTCTTTACATTTTACTACAACACCCTCAATATTTGGTCACTCATTACAATCACACATCTAAAATACATACACATATCCAAAGCATGCATACACAAGAGCACCTCAAACTGAGCCATCTCAGTATGATGTTCTTGAGAATCAACAAAAAAGGTGTCACTGAACTCATGTGGTCAAGTGTCTTCACAGTAAGATGAAATCCCTGACCTTCGCTGTTTCGACACGAGGTTTTACCTCAAGAT